CTCTCTGAGCTATCTGGATTGGAAGTTTGGGATACTGTTGGTGAAAGAAAGTCAGTGTTAGTCTGTAAAGTGTGTGTTGGGGTCTGGGTGAACTTTGCAAAGGCAAGGAGTAAATAATGGTAGTGGAGAGATACTGCAAGTACTTGGTCTTAGCCTAGGCGTAAGTTACTGAAAATCTAGGTAATATATGTGTGGGATATAGACCACTCTAGTAGGTTTACTACAAGGATAAATTAGTCTTAAGGGGCCTTAGTGGTAGTTCTTTTTTGGAGAGAATATCTGACAATACTAAGTTGATCAAAGGGTTTAATTAAGTAACTCAAGTAATAGTGGGTTATAGATATGGCATCTAGTGGAATACTTAATAATAGAGAACTACTTAATTAGGTACTTAAAAAATGCAGATATAACTAGAATATATTATCGTTAATATAACAAAGTCAAAGGTAGCCTATATAGTTGCACTGATATTTAATCTAAAGTTCAATAATATGTATCAGACCCCAAAGTGGTCACCTTAACATTAAAAAAAAAAAAAACTATGAGTTGTATTTAAGGTTACTATATTTTTATTTTGACTAGATATTATTTATAATAAAATTTGCATTAAGACTGAAGTATTTTGTGTTTGATTTTCTTGTATGCTAGGTTTAGAATAATAAATTAGTTTAACTTCTATTGCATATTTAGAGTATTATAAAAGATCTTTTACATAATCTGTAATACAATTATAGTGAAATATATAAGTATAAATAAGTATTGTAAATAGTTTTTTAACTTTATACAAAAAAAGCTCTTTATTACACTTTGAATATGAATCTAGTTCTGAAACTTCAACACCTTTTGCAATAATTTCTAGAAAGCTATTCTTAAGGATATTTAAAGCAAAATTTTTGGAATATGAAACATTTTGAGGCATTAGATTAATAGATATATCCAAAGATAAATTTTTTATAATTAAAAAAGTTGATATATGAGGTTGATCTTTAGTATAGGTGGGCATATATAATTATTATACAATTATAATATATATAACTTAATTATTTTAATCTAATTTAAGTAATTTTATAAATTATTAGGGTTAGAATTAAGGTTAGGATTTAAATTAGCTCAAATTAGTTAGGTTTTATATATTATAATCTTGTAATAATTTATATATGTCTACCTATATTAAAGAAGATTTGATATATGATATTAAGGATTATAGACAGATAAGTATTGAAATTAATTGTTTGCTTATTTTTATACAAGGGGTGACAAAACTTTTTACACATCTAAGGACTTAGCTTATAACTTAAAAACTTATTAATTAATTTATGTCTTTGATTTGTCTATATGAATCCTTATTACTTGATAATTATATTATATTATTTTTAGATCACATATTTGCATAATTAGCAAGTTATTTAACTTTACTTTTAGGGTTTTGAAAAATAATGTAAGTATGTTTTTTGTAAATATTTCAATAATTATCAATTCAATTTAATAATATTTTACTATTTTATAAACAAAGTTTTTCTCTATCTACTATATAAATTTTATACAATTTTTAATTAATAATTAACTAAAAAATTAATAAAAACAAAAATTTTATAGTTCAATCTTTTAAACTAATTTTCTTAATAATTATTAGTTTAAAACAAATAATTTTTTTTTATTTAATAGATATATATTTTCTCTATAAAATATAAAAAAATTATTAAAATCTAATTACTAGTTGTAGAGATAATTCAAATAATCTATCCTAATATATAAAATTTTATCCATAAAGGCTGTAACATATATTATATAATATCATTTTATTAAGGAGGTTACTCCCTCTTCTCTATGTCATACAGTTTATTAGTTTAATTAGAGTTAGAGTTTAATTCTAGTCAAATCAATAGAGTAAATAACAAATTATAATACAAATAGTAATTTTTAATAAATATAGTAATTTTTAATAATTTGTTTTAGAGTATAGCAACTTAGTGAAGTAGTGAAGTTGTCGCATCCTCAAGTAGCAGAAACAGAGTTTGAATCCCACTGGTGACGAAAAATTCAAATTCTCAGTACAGTGTTACAGCAACTGTGAGTGAAAGGGCGAATTGACATCTTTAACTAGATCATACCAGCTTGTACTGAGAGATTGTGGAACAATAGTGTAATAAATGAGTTACATGAACCCTGAGTGAAGCAGTTGTGTAAATCTGAGGTCGGCGCATATAAAAGCCTGCTTGGTAAGACCCAAGTAGAGAGATAGCACAGATCTTTGACGGTACTATGTAAAGGATTATCAACCAGAAAACTAGAAAACTAAACGGGACCGAAGTGTTTAGCAAGGCACTCTACCAACCATGCCGTCAGAGAGTAACCAGAAGAAAAGAACCCAATCATGGAGACCAGAGGCAGGTCACAGCTCTTCTGGGCCATCTGAATTAGAAGTTTGGGATGATGGGTATACAGAGAATAAGTTCATATAGTGGATGCTGGGGTTTGGGTGAACTTTACAAGGGTGGTAGTAGGTAATAGTAGTAGCTTCGGCTCACAAGTACTTGTTCTCAGACTCAGCATAAGTTACTGAAAGTCTAAGTCAGCCAGATTTGTAGGTACAGAAGGCTCTAACAGGTTTACCTCGAGGATAAAGAGTTCAATAAGAGCCTGCTTTAAAGTTCTAAGTCAGGTATCTAAAAATAAGGAGGTACTGCATATTCTCGCTCAATTAAACAATTAATATACATAGCCGCAGAGGGTTTAAATGGGTAACTCAGTAGGGTTATAGATACAGCAGCTAGTGTAGAACCTTCTGGGTGTTTACTTAAATAGCCAACCAAAAGTTGCATATGTGGCTAATTGTACTCTCCAAATATGTGTATAGTTTGGTACACTATACTGTAAAAGTTAACAATAATCAAATAAAAAAAGACAACCAAGAGATCACCTTAACACCGAAAAAAAAAAAATTTGTTTTAGATACTAATTATTTTTTAATTATTATAAAATACATTTATAGTGGTTTTGCACCTATTATATATTTTTATTATGTTTTTTAAAATTTTCTAAGTTTTTGTAAGTTTGGAATTTATAATTTATTGCAAGATGCAATATATTACACCTCTATTATAACTATTTGAAGATCATCAAATTTTATGTAATGAAAAATTTTTATCAAAGCAAAAAATAAATTTTAATTAATATTAGATTTAGGGTTAAGATTTGGGATGAAGCAAAAATATAAATTATATCAAAATTTTACAAAAATTTTTTTTTATTAGAACCCCAAAGGTGATTTTATAGTAAAAATTTTGATAATAGAAGGGGTGTAATAAATTTTAAAATCTTATAAGTTTTGTATATAAAATTTTTAACATCAATTTTTTTATATTGCAATTAATATTAAGGTTAGAATTAGAGTTTGGGAAGGATTTTTTGGAGTATAAAACATTTTTATTTAAAACACTTTACATTGATTAATTAGCCAGTTTTTAAGATAATACAACATAGGTGATAAAACACCATAAGTGCATTTTAGTAAAAGTGTTATTTTTTCTCAGATTTTGCTTCTTTCTTTGTATATTTTTTTTTAATAATTTTTTTTTTCACTCTAGGTTTCAGATATACAGTATATCCATTGTATATACAGTATAAAATTTTATTTTACTGGCAAAATTGCATGTTATACTTAATTTTTCTAATTTGTATCATTAGCAATTTGGTGAAATGATTATATAATCAATATTCATTGAATATAGACTAACACTAAGTTGGTTTTATAAATTATATATAAAATCGATCTTTACAAATCGATTTTCGATTTGTATCACTACATACGGCACCTATACGGCATACGGCACGGCACCTATACGGCATACGGCACTTATACGGCATACGGCACATCTACTTATACGGCAAATGTGTGATATGTTTGTTGTGGTAGCAACCCTCGAGATTCTAAATGCCTGCATCACTAGTGTTATCTCTATTTATTGATTTATTGATATTATTTATCGAGATTACTGTTGCAAGGCAACGGGTTCATACCTAATATTATATATATATATATAGTATATACAGTATAATACAGTATATATCTTGGCTAATACGTATTACTACAATACGTACAGTACACTAATACTTACACATGTTTCATTGACGGATTGGCCGTTATTGTCTTACGAAAAAATGTACTATGAACAACTATATGAACTATACACAAATTATGTACCGATCAGCAAATTTTTTATACAGCAATACAATAATAAAGCGTGACGAATTCTGTGTCCCCTGACATAATTTAAATACGTCAAATTTTTACCGGGGAAGTATTCGGCAGGACATTCCCGGTCCAATCAACTATTATGATCAACAATGCATCGGCATTGCCACTTTTCATCACAGATCATTATATAAAAGTTATATTCTTCAATAACAAGGTGTAGCTTTCTAATAGCGCAGAGCACTTTTTTAATATAACGTACTCACGTCATAGTTTGCTTTTAGAGCTCAGTTTAATTATATAAGAACCTTCGTCTGTGTATATTCCAACTTGAAGTTTTAACTATAAGAATTTGGCACTGAAATCTTAAAGTACGTACTTGATGGGAAAGTTGGGTGGAGGAAAAAAAAAAGAATCTAATGGCAGTATAGTTGAAAATGTTACTAGCTACCACTTTATGTTCTTTTTTCATTAATTTCCTTTGGAAACTGAGAGATTGAAATACAAATAGATCTGTGTAAAGCGATTGTGGTGTAGTATGGGGATCTATGTATTAGAAGTTACAGGATTACATGTAATTATTTTGCAACTAACCATAAATACTATATAATGTTATCATGTAGATTTCCACATATTTTTATACCTTATTGTAAACAAAAAAAAAAAAAAAAAAAAAAACAGAAAAAAAAAGAAAAAAAAATTTTTTTGAAACTAAAACTTTACCCTTTTAGTTGTGGTTTGCTGACAAATTTCTTGTAATTTCGTTCAAATGACTGATGAATTTGATATATATAATGACGACAATTTCGGTGCGAATGGAGACCCAGTACGTTAAGTCTAATTTTATTTTTCTATTTGTTAACTAACATATTAATTTCTTAGTTCCTAAACAAAGCAATAATATTATTTCGACAATAGCATGACGATTTGTATGCAGAGATATTAGAAGATGATGACAGTCGTCCACTAAAGCGCAGTAGGAGAGATAATGACCTTAGTTATGATCACCCAGATATTCATTCTGGTGTACAAGAAGAAAAGGACGGTGATGATGATTTGTTCGCAGATTTCGGGGAAGGTGAAAAGGTTCGTAATTACTTCACAGCGCAGCTAGTACCGATGTTTCTTATATACGTTTTTATATTGTGTAATTAATTCTGGACTGCGCTGTGCCGTATTGTAAGGATGGGAGGAATGTTCTGGTCCAAATTTGCGGTTTTTTTTTTTTTTTTAATTCTTTTTGTTTATTTTTTATTTTTTATATTTCTACTTTCTGTTCTTACTTGCTTGGATGCTTGTATTGTTTGCATGTCTGCATTTGTGTTTCTCGTACTTTCTCTTTCCGAGATTGATTCAATTCTTAAGTGGTAGTTCTGACGTTTTGTGACGTTTTGTTAATTGACAATATCTGTAATAAGGAAAAAAGGATGTATAGCGATGAAATTTTATCAAAAGTTGTATTGAAACCAATCAATTAAAAACAAAAAAAGAAAAAAAAAAAAAAAAAAAAAAAAAAAAAAAAAAAAAAAATTAATCCAAAAAAAAAAAAAAAAAACCGCAAATTTGGACCAGAACATTCCTCCACCCCTAAAAAAACGC